CAAATTCAATTTGAGGCAATCTTTCAGTATTTCTGATTCTGCTGCCTGCTAAAAACATCCTTTTCCCTCAGTGGGTCAAACTATGTAGTACTGACTTATTTTAAGAGCTTTATTATGAAAAATTTCAAACCTATACAAAAGCTGAGAATAATATAACATATGCCCATGTACCCATCACCCAGCTTCAACAAACCATCACTTTTTAATAGATTTTTCCTTACCCTTCCCCATACTCCTTAGTGGAGACTTTTTTTTTTTAACAAATGCTATGAATAGACAAAACATTATCTATGAGAAACCTGATACTGAACGTCCTTCATGTCACACTCTGCTACAAAATGATTCCATCTTCTGTTTCCACAATTTCTAGACCTTTTATTCTAAGTCTGTTCCCCAGCATAAGACTTCATCCTACCCGTTTTCATGTTTCTGGCTGGTCTTTGAACGTGGCAAAATCCAAATGGAGAAAGTGTCTGTGGGGCTTCAGACATCCAAATGACAGTGAGAGGAATAATAAATTCATCAGAGAGGGTTGGGGTGAAATAAATTTAAGAGGCACTCCAATACAAATCTTCTTATCAGAAGGGGAAACTGAAGCACATGCTCTGAGCTGTACAAGGTCCAGATGGGAATCACTTCAATCAAGAAATAAAGACAGGATGTGTGGAAAGTAAGCTTCTACTATCCGTATTTCTCTCCACTGATTTCCACAATCTCTACCCATTCCTACTACATCTGTGAGGGCCAGAATCATCTTCCCGGACCCCCCCTACCTCCCCTCCCCCCGCCACGCCGGGGGCAGCATTAACCTGTCTCAAAGCATTGTATGACACCAGCAGATTTTTAAATCCTTAAGGGCAAAATCAAGCCTCAGTCTCCTCCGACCAAAGCTTAATAAGGTACCTGATTGATACTCGGTGGTCACTCAAATATTTACCGATCCGAAACAGAGCTTCCTTTCCCAGCAATCAGAACCCTAAACCTATCAGGCTTCCTATTTTTCTCCCTCTCTCTACAAGCTCCGGCAGCCCCATTTCTTCGGAGGATATAGTATAAAGAACACAGAATGGGAAATCAGAAAGACTGAGTTTGTGTCTTGGCTGCTACCCTGGTTTGTGCGGCCTTGGACACATCGCCTCTTTCCAGGGACTCCACATCCACATCTATAAAATGGGCAAGTTTTAGGAAGCCTTTGTGGATCCTCCCTCCTCTCCCGCGCCTCCCTCTCTAGGCAGCGCCACGCTGGGCCTCAGCTTCTCCCCCAGTCTCCACGACCCTCGTTGGGTCCGCTCCACTTCCCGAGCTCCTCACACTCCAGGGCACTGCGTCCTTACCTCCCACTCCCAGGTTGACCTTGCGGGGGTCCGGATCCTCCCGGAAATCGGCAGTGAGCTTGAAGACCAAGACAGGCTGTGCCTGCGGAACCTCTGCAAAGACTGATGGAGACGCCATATCGAGAGAGCAGGAATAGAGACGCTTCACCGCGACTCCAGAGATGCCAGGTCAGGTCTGGCGTCTGCGACTGGAGGAGACTCTCACCTTCACCTAGCCGGCGGGGGCGGGCCCGCGGCCTCCAATGGTCGAGCCGCGTCCAGAGCTTGGCAACGCGATTAACCAACCGTCAGCTTCTGACGAACAAGAAACAGGAGGGTGGGAAAGCTATTAGCCAATCCAAGGAAACAATCTTATCGGCGGCCGTGAAGGATGCAACCAATGCAATTTACGCCGGCTGCAGCGTGGGCGGGGACTATGGTTGATTGGCAGAGCGTTCTCCTATCGCAGAGGCTATTACTCCTTGGGTCCCCCGACTGAGGGGAGGAGCCGAACGAGCCGGGGTAGTCACCGAGAGGCTGCTTCTTTGACCTTCGAGGGTCCGGAGGATTCGGGGATGTGGCCGGAGGCAGTTCCCGAGGACAGGTCTTCGTGTTCCCGCCGAGCAGATGTTGACGCTGCCAGGCTCGACCTGGCGGCCCCGGGCTGGCAGCCAAATCCCCAACGTCTGTGCTCGGGACGCGAGTGTTCGGCCGGGACGTGCAGCTCCGGAGCCCGCGCTGGCGACCTTGACCACCTGGTCGGCTGTTTCCCCCTGAGGGAAATGTGGCTGTGCTGCCAGCCTTGGTGTCTGGCAGGGAAGGTCCTGCCAACAGGGAAGGGTGTCCACGAGTTTCTTTCTGCCGCTCTTCTATTAATAGTTTGAGATTTTCCTTCCCGGTTCCTTACAGAGAGGCCTGGTCCTTAAGGACCTTCGGGATTTGGGCGTGGGGTCCCTTCCCAGCTTCCTCCTGCTCGCACCGGACCCGATCTTGCTGTCGACAGCTGGCTGGTACCCAAAGTGCCTCTTCGTCAGGCTGTTCCTTCCCCGTAAGAGTCCTTCCTCCCCAGAACCCTTCTCCATCTGTTGACCTTCAAGATCCAGAGTGAATGCCAGTTCATCCATGAAGCCTTCCCTTAACCCTTATTCTGGTCAAAATATATCTTTCCTGTGCTTCTGTATTTTAACAATGTTAGAAAATGCCTTTGTGGTTAAGAACCTAGCTACAGGACCAGACTGTCTAGGTTTAGATTCTGGCGGCCGCTTATGAACTTGAGCAGGTTTAGTCAAGTTATTTTAACCTCTCTGTGGAGGTTCCTGCTTTGTGGAAGTATTTTCCTCAGGGTTGTTGTGAGGATTTTCGTGAGTTAATACATATACGAAGTAGTTAGTTGCATATTAGAAGCACTCTCTAAATGTCAGCTATTGTTGTCATTGCATATCTGCCACACCCTTTGTAGACAGCAAACTTTTTTAACTTTTAGGTTCAGGGGTGCATGTACAGGTTTGTTTTATAGGTAAATTACGTATGGGGGGGGTTGGTGTACAAATTATTTTGTCACCCAGATAATAAGTATAGTACTTGGCAGGTTTTTGTTTTTTTTTTTCTGATCCTCTCCCTCCTCCCACCCTCTACCCGCAAGTAGGTCTGTTTTTCTCTTCTTTGTGTCCATGTGTTCTCAATGTTTAGCTCCCATTTATAAGGCAGAACTTGCGATATTTCCTTTTCTCTTTCGAATTAGTTCACTTAGGATAATGCCCTCCACCTCCATCCATGTTGCTACGTAAGACATGATCTCTTTCTTTTTTATGGCTGCATAGTATACTGTGGTGTATATGTGCCATATTTTCTTTATGCAGTCTGCTGGTAATGGGCAGTTAGGTTGATTCTATGTCTGTACAATTGTGAATAGTGCTGCCATGAACATATATGTACATGTGTCTTTATGGTAGAACGATTTATATTCTTTTGGGTATAGACCCAATACTGGGATTAATGGGTCAAATGGTAATTCTGTTTTAAGTTCTTTGAGAAATCACTATACTGCTTTCCACAGTTACTGAACTAATTTACGTTCCCACTAGCATTGTATAAGCATTCCCTTTTCTCTACAACCTCACCAGCATCGATTATTTCTTGACTTTTTAATAATAGCCATTCTGATTGGTATAAGGTGGTATCTCATTGTAGTTTTGAATTTGCATTTCTCTACTGATGCTGGGTATTTTATATGCTTGTTGGCCATGTAGCTTCTTTTGGCTAGGGGCCTATAAGTCTCCCTATGTTTCTTGCACTTACTAAGCCTTCAACAAACGGTAGAAGAAAGAGTCAATTCTCTTGACGTTTCAGAAGGAAACAATATCACAGCATCTATTCATTGGATAATACTATAAATCTCAAAATAAATTTTCATTCAGAGTAATAAACACAAGCAAAAGAACTTTGTGTAACATCTGTCAACTTTTTGTGTCATCTACTTCTTTCAGAAACATTGCCTCTGGTTTTAAAGGTAACTGTCCACAGTGTTTCACTAATAACACTTTAAGCATTGCAAGTTCGACACTGAAGTTCAAATGACAATGAACTTTCAGTGTTTCCAAAAGCAGGGGCAACTGCTGAGAGGGCCTTGTGGAATTTGATTTAAAAGTATGATATTGCGTTGGCCAGCAATATCATGGTCACTCCCTACGTCATTCCCTGGGAGGAAAACAACCCTAGGTTGCCTAAACACTGTTGGCTAAGACCAAATATTTATTAACATCCTAAGCAGCTCCATAATCAAGCCAATGCTGATAGGGACAAAGAAGGTGCCAGGTGCAGGTTTTCTCCATGTCCCCACAATATTCGCTCTGAATTTTTAAAAAGGCAATTACTGGGGGAGAAGGAAGCCTATATATTAAGTAAGATCTAAGTCTCAAACTGCTTTCCTAGGGAGTGTGACGTTCTTGGAGATTAAGTGCAGTACCTTTCTGTCTTGAACCCTGTGGGCTGCCTCTCTAATTTAATGCCAGTATTGAAATAAACAGAATGCTTTTCAGGTCATCGCTAATTTTAACACTTTGGCTTAGAATTGACTCAAGACTCTCTCCTTGCTGAGTGGATAATTCAGCTGGATACTGCCCAAACAAGTAGGCAGCCAGAAAAAGTGAGTGCCCAGGGAAAGGCAGTAAGGGTCAGAAGAGAAAGAGGCAGATATTCTTACTGCCTCCTGCCTTCCTTATGACTGTCTGTTCAGGAGTCCCCCTAGAATCTCCCTTCTGCCTTCCCCTGCTCCCTTCCCTGAAACCTTTTCTTCAAAAGAATTGGAAAAGAGAAACTGGGAACCCATATAGCAAGAGCATCACCTGGAATGAATTCCTTTAGAACGTACTGTCTTGGAAATCCGAAGCCTGCAGGCTGGACAGGCAGGAAGAGCAGTGGGCACTGCATGAACCTGTAAGCAAATCTACACGCGGTTGGTTTTTTGTTTTTTGGTTTTTTTTGAGACAGAGTCTCACTCTGTTGCCTAGACTGGAGTGCAGTGGCACCATCTCAGCTCACTGTGGCCTCCGCCTCCAGGGCTCAGGTGATTGTCCCACCTCAGACTCTCAAGTAGCTAGGACGACAGGCATGCACCAATATGCACAGCTAATTGTAGAGACAGGGTTTCACATGTTGGCCATGCTAGTCTCAAACTCCTGGGCTCAAGCAATCAGCTTGCCTCGGTCTCCCAAAATGCTGGGATTATAGGCATGAGCCACTGCACCTGGCCATACACGTTTATTTTACTCAGTCTTGCCCCTGAGTACCCAGAAGGTCCAAACTTAGGAATAAGTCAGGGGAGGGCCAAGTTTATCATTCTTAGCACTGAAGCACAAAGTGCTTTGGGTGTGTGCTGGCACTAAGGGTAGGATATTATTTGGAAGCTGAGTTATGTGCTGAGCAAATATTTCTTTAAAAACCAAAGCTGTATGAAATCTGTTCTAGTGTCACAGTGTGGCTAAATAGTGTGCGATAAGATAAGTTAGGGCTCCTGAGATGGTACTGTCCTCCCACTGTAATGAGTTTACTCTTCTTCCTAAGGAAAGTGATTCTTGATCAACCTCTCCTCTCAAATTAACTGGCTTGTTTCCTGAGTGTGCCTTCATGGAACCGTGTCTCCTTCTCTTCCCTCAGTTCTCTTTCCCTCCCTTATGTATGACTCCTCCCCTAATCTGCACTCATGGATTGAACCAAATGAGGGTATTTTTCTGCTTCCTCATAGAAGGGCATAGAGTGGACAGGGTCTAAGGTTAGTTCCTAAAGTGGGTACCCACATATGCAGAATTTTATTTAAAGCTGCTGAAATCTTTGTATAGCAGATAGATCAGTAAGACTGAAAACTACTGATGGTTTTATCTACTTGTCCAATGTGATTAAGTTCCATGGTACCATTTAGAAATTGTGCTGTATAGTTTTTGTACATTGCTTAAGAAGCAGTATAGCATAATGGTTAAATGCATGGCCTCTGGAACTAGATTTCCTCTGTATGCCTCAGTTTCCTCACCTGGGAATAATAATAGTTCTATTTCATCAGTTGCTATGAGGATTAAATGATTTAATTTAATGATTTCATACAAAACTCTGAATTGTACTTGACACTTAGTACTCAGCTATTCACTGGGACCATCATTACATTTACATTTTACAATCATTTAACATTTACAATTATTAATAAAGTTGTAAAACCATACAAGCACTTGCCTTTGCGATTTGTTTACAAGCACTTGCCTTTGGGATTTGTTTAGCTTTTTTTATTAAATTATAAGCAGCATAGAACAATACATAGGCTTGGTCCTGGAATCAAATTCTAGCTTTGCCTCTTACTAGTTTTGAAACTTTGATTAAATTACTTGATGTGTCTGAGTTTTAATATTCTTAACTGTAAATTATTTTTAAAAAGAATTTTGCTTTGTGTTGATATGCACACATTTAACACAGTTATAGAAACTATTATTAGTACTATTGTCATAGATATGAAATTAGTCCCTGGGTTGCTGTAGGCTGGTAGTGGTTAGGCAAACTCTCTTTGAAGTCTATCTGATCTGGCCTCTTGCAGGCATGTACTCTGAAATATTTTTCAAATGGAAAAGAAAGCAGAGAACACAGTTTTCAAAATATCTAGAGCCCTCCAAGATGTCTGTAGTAATCTATAAAATCTCAAGACAATTTAAAGGTAAGACAACTTTATTAATAATTGTAAATGTTAAATGATTGTAAAATGTAAATGTTAACAATAGCCCTCTGTATAGCTATATTATCTTTTTCAGAAGAATAGAAAATGTTTTTGAAACACTATTCTCTCCACATCCTAGGGCAGCAGCCTTCTCCGAAGAAACGTAAAGAAGGAAATGGATTGCCTTAGCAAAAACCAAATGAAGACACTCCAAATAAAAGAAGACTGGGAAGGCTACAGACCTTGAAGTCAGAAGAAAATTTCCTCTTCTTAGCCTGTTTCTCCTTCAATGCGTCACCAGTACAGTCTCTTATTTCTAGGGCCATGTTCAGCTTTTTTCCCCTAAGTTGTAATGTCCTTCTTTTGGTTCGGTCATGTCCTAAAATCCTACTCTTTGGTACAAGATGAAGGTAGATGAAGAGATAATGAAGGAAACAAATTCAATGTGTTTGCTAAGAACACAGTCTTTTAAATCATTCTTAAAGGGTTCTTTTAAAACAATGTAATAGATTGTCGTTATCTATTACACAAAGCTAGTAGGAACCTCGAAGTGTATTAAAAACATTTCAACATTCAGCAGTAGAGGGCAGCACTGCCCTTCATTTGCAAAATGTTGCGCACTCTTGAGAAGGAAAATAAAGGCAAAACTCCTGACCCCTGTGTCTGTGTATTTACTTTTACTGTATACTTTTAAAAATTGAGTATTTCTGTTATGGTTTAGGTGATTATGTAGAAAGAATGTCAGAGCCTGGATTGCCTGGAAGTGGTACACCAGGTAACTGGCAAAAAAACACGGAACGTTTGAGGTCCCCAACTCAGGATATGGGTTCTGTCTGGCAAAGATAAACAGTAGCTTGACCCTGGGTAATCAGATAGGGTTATTGTATGAACAGACTTAATGCTCCTGCACTTTCTGGATAGAAGTCAATCTACTGAAATAGCAGGATGTGGTTTTAAAAAATGTGTGTAACTCGTATAGTCTTAGCCCTCATAACTCCTTCTAAATTCTTATTCACTGCCTTTATTCTGCTGTGTTAGTGTTGCTCCCTGTTATACCTGGGTCAGGTCAGAACTATCTCAAATAGAGTATGTGTATTATGACTTTAAAGAGTGGTGTCAGACATGATGGGTAAGGAATGTCTTTCATGGGACTGCAGTTGACTAAACAGCTGTGTATAAATAGTGAAATTGAAGCTTGTCTGCTCATCCTCATTCTGTCACAGTATGATTCGAGTTTTCCTAACCAGTAAATAGCAAGAAAAAATGATCTGTTATTTTGTACTAAAAGTTATTGATGCTTTTTATCAGGATGACAGAATAATTCTAATTTTAGCAAATACAAAACTATATAATCCTAGCATATTTGAATTCTGTTTAACCCTGAAAACTTTTTTGGCAGCAAATCTTCAGTGCCAATTTAAATAAATCCCACTAGGAATAAGCACTGGAAGACACTGAGTCTAGTTCCCAGCTCTGCCATGTGAAGTTGGGCAAATTACAACCTCTGAGCTTTCATTTCTTCATCGCTAAGTGGAGATAATACCTCCTAGATTTATTAAAAGGGTCAACTTAGAAAATACAAATTAAAATGATTTGAAAGCCATTTAAGTACCTAACAAATATTTCTATCACTGTAGCCCAAAGAGATTCCTGCCTAGAAGGCTTTATGTCTCTTCTCCTTATTTGGTATCATTCTATTGCCTGAGATTGTTAATAACTTTGATGCATACTTAATATCTTCTCCCAACTTGGTTGCTAGTTAGTTCCTTGAGGATTGAAACCATCAGTTGCACTTCTTGGTATCATCCACAACAAGGTATCTGTACTCAAATATTTGATTAAAAACATAAACCACAAGACATAATTGATTCTTTTGTAAATTGTGGTAAAAAACATGTATTTACCATCTTAACCATTTTTAAGTATACTGTATATTAGTGTTTACTATATGCACATGGTTGTGCAACACATCTCTAAAACTTTTCATCCAGAATTCTTTTTTTTTTTTTTTTTTTTTTTGAGACAGAGTCTTGCTGTCACCCAGGTTGGAAGTGCCATGGTACCATCTTGATTCACTGCAACCCCTGCCTCCGAGTTTCAAGTGATTCTCCTGCCTCAGCCTCCCAAGTAGCTGGGATTACATGTTCCTGCCACCACACCTGGCAAATTTTTGTATTTTTGATAGAAATGGGGTTTCACCATGTTGGCCAGGGCTGGCCTCAAACTCCAGACCTCAAGTAATCTACCTGCCTCAGCATCCCAAAGTGCTGGGATTACAGGCATGAGCAGCTGCACCTGGCCTAGCCATTTTCTATAAGCCTGAAAATGGATGCCAGAAAAGAAGGTACCACTATAAAACCCTTTCATGAGTGATTTATGTCTAGCATACAATTAAACATTTTTTATTTTATTCTATTTTATTTTTTTTATAAGACGGGGTTTCACCATGTTGGTCAGGCTGGCCTTGAACTCCCGACCTCAGGTAATCCGCCCGCCTTGGCCTCCAAAGTGCTTGGATTACAGGCATAAGCCACCACACCCGGCCTAAACATTTATAAGAAGGAAATTATCAGGTTAAAATATAAACTCACTTGCCAATTATTTGATTTTCAGGATATCTGACTTTTGTTAATTATTGAAAATAAAGTATTATTTCTAATCACTATTGCTATCACAATAGCATTTTTATTTGGCAGGTATATGTGAGACCTGGAGTATAGAGGGAAACTGTCCCAGAAAAGGACTGTGCATTGGCTGTAGAGAGTTCTGGAACTCTCACAATGGCAAGACTGTATTTAACTTTTGATATGTGCTTTTAAAAACAATGCACCTTTTCAAGTACAGATTTTCATCTGATGTCATGATTGTCAATTATGTCAAATTTGTTTGGTATATTAAAAAATTGGTTTTCTCCTTTGCACAAAATAAATTCTAGATGATATAAGATTTAAATATTTTAAACAATATAGGGAAAATAATATTTTTTAAACGTAGTGTTAGGGTAGAATAGACTTTTATAATCATAGCACAATCTCAGAAGCTATTAAGAAAATAATTGACTTTGCATGGCTATAGACACCATAAAGATGTGATAACATGGAAGAATATTTGCAACATGCTTATTAGTCACATCTATTATTTACTCAGAGTTTCATTGTATTGGTGGGAAAAAGAGGATATAAAGAAATCATTCAGAAAAGAATACAAATAACACCAATAAACATACACCAAATCATCCTCATTATTAAATTGAAACCACATCAATTTATCAATGTTTACCCATCAGATTGACAAACATTTTTTAAATGTTGAAAAAATAGTGTTGAGGGGAAAGAGCACTGATATGCACTATTGCATGGGAGACTGTCAATCAATAAAGCCTTTTCTTAGAGTGTATTTTGGTAATAAGTCAAAATTAAAATGTACATGCCACTTGACCAAGCAATTTCTCCTCTAGGAATCTACCTAAAGAAATTTGTGCAAGTTTTTAAAGATAGGTATGGAGGCATGCAGTTATGCATTGTAACTTTGCTTTAATAGAAAAAGAGTAAACATGTATTATTTTTGTAACCTAAAAAATCAAGTTTTTAGTGGGGAAAAAAAATAGGTTTGAAGCAGGACAGTGGTCATGGAAGTTGGAATCCACTAAGGCATGTATAACAACACACCTGCTGATCAATAAAAACAAATAAAACTTTTAAAAAACAAGCTTGAGAAACACTTCACAGGAATAGAAAATTAATATAGTTTCTAACAATGATAATGAAGTAGAACAAACAGGAAAAAGTAATTCTCCAAAGGACTATGTATGTATGTATGTAGTAACTTAAAACTTCAGATACTATGAGAAAGTATTTTTAAATAAAGAACAGTGTGGTGTGCTACAGTTTAAAGTTGGTCTGAAATCCGGGGAGCTATTGACGCTCCTTACATAATAAAATAGTGATTTTTAAAAATATGAATCCCCATTATCCGTAGCAAACAAACACAGGAACAGAAAACCAAATACCACATGTTCTCATAAGTGGGGGCTGAATGATGAGAACACATGGATACATGGAGGGGAAACAACACACACTGGGGCCTGTCAGGGTGGAAGTAGGAGAGAGAGGGCATCAGGAAGAATAGCTAATGGATGCTTGGCTGAATACTTAGGTGATGGGATGATCTATGCAGCAAACCACCATGGCACACATTTACCTATGTAACAAATGTGCACATTCTGCACACGTACTCCTGAACTTAAGAGTTGAAGAAAAAAAATGAATCCCACAATTCTGTATCCAAGGACCTAGAACCGCTCCTGACATCCAAGAGATAATACATATTGGCTGAAGGAATGAATGAGGATATTTGCACCTGAGTTATTATAAAAATAGATGCAAAATTGCCTAATGATTACTACTTGGTCTGCAACAAGTGTTTAACAGATACTAGTTCACTACTTACACGTGCCTAACACATCACGAGGGCTTATTTAAAAGAATTTACCTAGTGCTTATTATACGCTGGGTACTGTTCTAAGTTCTTTATAAACACTAACTCATTCAAGTTGTTTAACTGAAGTAAGTGGTATAATTATTCCATTTAACAGATGAGGCAATTGAGGCAAAGAGCAATTAAGCAATTTGCCCAAGATGCCACAGCTAGACAACAGTGGAGATATGAACAGAGTCTGGCTCCAGGGTTCATTCTCCACGGTGCCATATTGCATCCCACATGGTAAAAACTTACTGAATGTAAGAATTAATAATTTGTTATTTTTTTTCAAATTATGCTTTTACCCCAGGGAGCTCAGAATATTTTATATCAAACCATGCCAAAAAATCATTCCCACAACTTCTCTTTGAGGTAGATAATATTTCTAAAATCATGTTTTAGGGTATTATTGGTTTACCAGTTGTGTTTAAAAAGAACATGGGAGGTCATTGTTCCTATGATAAAAATCACCGTATTTGCTTTTTGATATCATATTAATTTCCATGACAACAGTTCCAGGTTCCAAACACAGAAACATCCTGCTTTAGAAATGGAAGAGACATAGGACCTACAGAGAATTAAATAACAATGCCAAAATTATTTAAAGGGGTAAGGTTGTGTGTGTGTGTTTCAATCTTTTGCGTAACTAAAGCAATACATCTTCAACTTTTTCAATCAGGAAACTTTTTTTTCTATATCTGAGCTTTGTAGGCTTTTTTTGTTGTTTTTGTTTGTTTGTTTGTTTGTTTAAATGGAGTCTGTTGCCAGGCTGGAGTGCAGTGGCGTGATCATAGCTCATCACAGCCTCAAATTCCTAGGCAAAAGCAATCCTTCCACTTCATCCTCCCAAGTAGCTGGGATTACAAGCACAACCCACCCTGCTGGCTAGCTTTTGTTTTAACTTTAGTTTAACTCTATTCCATAACAATAGCAGTGTTTCTTTTTTCATGATTCATTCATTCATTCATTTATTCATTCATTCCATAAATATTTATTGACCATCTACTATGCACCAGCATTGCACTAGGTGCTAAGAATAACATGAACAAAAAGACAAAATCCCTTTCCTCACGGATTGTAACCTAATGGGGAAAACAGATAAGAGTATTGCACAAATGAAATACTAAGATTACTAAAATATAGCCATGTCTGAATGCTACATATCTTAGTAATCTGGGATTAGTAATCTGAGATTACTAAAATACAGCCATGGTAAGTGCCACATATCTTCATGGAAAAAGTACATGAAAGCATAAAATAGAGGGAATTAATCTAGTTGAGACCAGTTCTTTCCCCGTCAGAATCTACCCTCCAGCACAGACAGCATTCCCATTTCCATTCCTACTCCAGCAGTACCTCTTAGATGCTACAGCTTGCACATATGACAAAGTTATGGAGTCCAAGTTGGCAGCCAATGTTTTCAAGAGAAAATGGCCCATTAAAAATAATATTTTTAATTTATTGCTTTGTCATTTTATTATCACTTCTAGTTTTTTCCCAAATGACAAAAACATCACTTTAAAAATCTAATTTGTGTTTGTAAGATACCAGTACTTTTATCTTTGTGTTTCTGTTGGGAACTGTGAAGAATAAGGCATTTCCTGTAAGAATAACGTAGATCTTTATTAAGTTAAAGGAAGGCACAAATATTAAGAGAAGGGAGAACCAGAAACATCTATTTGTGTTTATTATTCTTATTCTACATAGGACAAGAATCTCTAAAAATTAAAACATACTGGCACCACCCAAAGAGGACAGCTCTGTCATTGGTAGTACGTGGACATCACCAAGTGACATGTAGCATCTCCTTCATGTGTGATGGGCATGGGGTCCAGGCCTAAGCTCCAAAGTCTCCTCAGGAAGACCATCGTATTAAAA